CATACTCTGCTGGCGGGAATGTAGTGTAGACACTGTGAAAGACAGTCCGACAGCTCCTCAAATGATTAAACACAGAGTTACCATATGATCCAGCAATTCCACTCCTAGGTATATACTGAAGAGAAATGAAAACAAGTCCACACAAAAATTTGTACACAAATATTCATAGCAGCATTATTCATGTAGCTAAAAGGTGGTAACAACCCAAACTGATGAATCAACTGGAATCAACAATCTATCAATTGGCAAATGGACAAACAAAACGTGTCCTATCTAAACCATTGGAATACTATTCAGCCACAAAAAGCAACGAAGTACTCGCACATGCTACAACATGGATAGGGTATAGGGTGCTTTATGAGATGATGAAGATGATCTAAAGTTGACTGTGGTGATGGTTGCCCATGTCTATGAAGACACTAAAAACCACTGAATTGTACACTTTAAAAAGGTGAATGGTATGTGAAATATGTCTCAATAAAGCTGTTTTTAAAAAGGAAGGTGAGACAGTATAGCTTCCACATACAATGGAGAAAACTGTAAGAGAAGTTGTCTCTACTCAACTCAAGATAATCATTTATTTATTAATATGTGCTCATTAGTTTCTCAGTAATTGTTTGTGGCTTTTATGGTAGAAGTTTTGCACAGGTTTTGATAATTTTTTTTTCTTTTTCTAAGCATTCCGTGTGGACATGATGGTAAATGTGGTTATGTATTAGTTTGCTAGGGCTGCCATGACAAAGTACCACAAACTGGGTGGATTATAACAGCAAAAATGTATCCTCTCTCAGTTTTGGAGACTATAAATCCAAAATCCACATGTCAGCAGGATTGATTCCCGCTGGATATTCGAAGCACAATGTTTCCTGCCTCTCTCCTCGCTTCCGGTAGTCACTGGCAATCCTTGGCATTCCTTGGCTTACAGATGCAACATTCCAATCTCTGCTTCTGTCTTCACATGGCGTTTTCCCCTGTGTGTCTATGTCGCTTATTGGGACACCAGTCATTAGATTTGGGGCCCACTCTAATCCAGCATGATATCATCTTAACTTGATACATCTGCAAAGACCCTATTTCCAAATGAGCTCACATTCACTGGTACTGGGCATTAGGATTTTTTTTTTTTTTGAGACAGAGTCTTGCTTTGTTGCCCAGGCTAGAGTGAGTGCCGTGGCGTTAGCCTAGCTCACAGCAACCTCAAACTCCTGGGCTCAAGCAATCCTGTTGCCTCAGCCTCCAGAGTAGCTGGGACTACAGGCATGCGCCACCATGCCCGGCTAATTTTTTCTATATATATTAGTTGTCCAATTAATTTCTTTCTATTGTTAGTAGAGACGGGGTCTCGCTCTTGCTCAGGCTGGTTTCGAACTCCTGACCTCAAGCCAACCGCCCGCCTCGGCCTCCCAGAGTGCTAGGATTACAGATGTGAGCCACCACGCCCGGCCCGGCATTAGGATTTTAACATTATCTTTTTGGTCAGTGTATCTTTTGGGGAGACTCAAACACACAACAGGCTATTTTTTAATTTCATTTTCCAATTGACTGCAATTAATATATAGGAATAAAATATTTTTCATATATTGACTTTGTATCCTGAGATTGTCATATTGATTTATTAGGTTAAGGTTTTAAGATTCCCTAGGACTTTCTACCTGTCATCTATGAATACAGTTTTATTTCTTCTTTCCCAATCTTTCTATCCTTTATTGCCTTTTTGCACCAGGTAAGACCTCCTGTACAATGCTGAATTGCAGTGTTAAGAGTGAACACCCTTATCTTGACCTGATCCTCTGCAGGGACAGCATTCAATACTTCATCCAGTATGTTAGCTGTAGGTTTTTTTGAACATAAGCCTTCATCAGATTGAGGAAATACCTTTTATTCCTAGTTTTCTGAGGGATTTTATGATGAGTGGGTATTGGATTTTGTCATAAGCTTTTCTGCTTCTTTTGAAATGATCATACAGTTTTTCTGTTATTTTATTACTAGTGTGAGGGGTCGAGACATTGCATACCTGCAAGGCCCACACCCCAGTGAAGCCGGGGTCGAGACATTGCACACCTGCAAGGCCCACACCCCAGTGAAGCCGGAACTAACATCCGGCTTCTGGAAACTGTTGCTTGCTTGCCATGGAAACCGTTGCTTGCTTGCTTGATTGCGCCAACTTTGCATTGTTCGGACCCCTGTATAGTGGGGCTGCCAGCCAACCAATCATGTTAAAGGTCAATGCATGATCCACGCGTGATCAGCCACTGCATAGCGTATGCACCATAGGGATAAAAGGCACGCTGCAACCCCAGTCGGGGTCCTTGCCTGCAAGAGTGACCACTGCGTTGGTGCTCTGGGGCTTGGACCCTGGCTAGCCAGAAAATAAACCTCCTCTTGTGTAATTACATCCTCAATGTCTCTGCTTTTCTGTCCGGTGGGGCTGTGGAAGGTCGGTCCCTAACACTAGTAAATTATATTTATTGACTTTATATATTCATTTTCTTGAGACAGCATCTGGCTCTGTTGCCTGGGATAGACTGCAACCTCGAACTCCTGAGCTCAAGCGATCCTCCTGCCTCAGCCTCTCAAGTAGTTGGGACTACAGGCATGCGCCACCATATGTTTATTTTTTTAAATGTCAACTACTCTTGTATTCCTATAATAAAAATCCTACTTGGTTATGATGTCTTCTTTTTTTGTATTGCTGAATTCGATTTGCTAATATCTTGTTAGGATTTTTATCTTTCTCAGGTTTTGGTGTCATAAAATGAGTTGGGGAAACATTGCCTATATTTTGAGTGTATGTAAAATTGGTATTTTATCGTTTGAAGATGTTTGAAAGAATTCACCACTGACATCTGGGCAAGTTTCTTTGTGAAAAGATTTTTAATTGCATATTCAAGTTATTTAATGGATATATAGCTATTCAAGCTTTCTTTCTTTTTTTTTTTTTTGAGACAGAGTCTCACTTTGTTGCCCAGGCTAGAGTGAGTGCCGTGGCATCAGCCTACCTCACAGCAACCTCAAACTCCTGGGCTCAAGCGATCCTCCTGCCTCAGCCTCCCGAGTAGCTGGGACTACAGGCATGCACCACCATGCCCGGCTAATTTTTTCTATGTATATTAGTTGGCCAATTAATTTCTTTTTTATTTATAGTAGAGACGAGGTCTCACTCTTGCTCAGGCTGGTTTCGAACGTCTGACCTTGAGCAATCCGCCCGCCTCAGCCTCCCAGAGTGCTAGGATTATAGGCGTGAGGCACCGCGCCCAGCCTATTCAAGCTTTCTATTTCTTCTTGTGTCAGTTTTCTTTTTTTTTTTCTTTTTTTTTTTTGAGACAGAGTCTCACTCTGTTGCCCTGGCTAGAGTGCCGTGGCATCAGCTCACAGCAACCTCAAACTCATGGGCTCAAGTGATCCTCCTGCCTCGGCCTCCCAGGTAGCTGGGACTTACAGGTAGCTGGGACTTACAGGCATGAGCCACTGTGCCCAGCTAATTTTTTCTACATATTTTTAGTTGGCCAATTAATTTCTATTTTTTTTTTAGTGAGACGCTCTTGCTCAGGCTGGTTTTGAACTCCTGAGCTCAAGTGATCGCCCACCTAGGCCTCCTAGAGTGCTAGGATTACAGGCATGAGCCACCGCACCCGGCCCCTGTGTCAGTTTTCATAAGCTATGTTTTTCAAGGATTTTATCTATTTCATCTATGTTGTCAAATTTCTTACCATAAAGTTATTCATAGTGTCCTCTTATTATCTTTTAAATATCTGGGACATTTATAGTGATTTCCCCCTTTTCATTCCTTATATTAGCAATTTGTGTTTTCTCTTTTTTCTTGATCAGCCATGCTAGAGGTTTATCGGTTTTATTACTATTTAAAAGAACTCCTAGGCCGGGCGCGGTGGCTCACGCCTATAATCCTAGCGGTCTGGGAGGCTGAGGTGGGCGGATTGCTCGAGGTCACGAGTTTGAAACCAGCCTTAGCGAGACCCTGTCTCTACCAAAAATAGAAAGAAATTAATTGACCAACTAAAAATATATACACAAAAAATTAGCCGGGCATGGTGGCGCATGCCTGTAGTACCAGCTACTAGGGAGGCTGAGGCAGGAGGCTCACTTGAGCCCAGGAGTGTGAGGTTGCTGTGAGCTAGGCTGATACTATGGCACTCACTCTAGCCCGGGCAACAAAGTGAGACTCTGTCTCAAAAAAAAAAAAAAAAAAAGAACTCTTAGCATTATTTTCTTACTATTTTAATTAATTTCTGCTTTTTTAATTATTTCCTTCCATTTTCTTTGGGTTTAATTTACAGCTTTTATTTATTTATTTAAGAGATGGGTCTTGCTCTGTTGCCTATGCTGGCTTCGACACAAACCCACTGACATGCACTATGTAGCCCACTCTTTGCAGAGGTCTAACATGCTCTCAGATGGCTATTTCTTCTACTTCATTCCCACCCCTTTTATGTCCTGGGCTAGGGCTGAAACAGGCCACGGGCAGAATGCTGGGCTGGTGCCCGATCACTTCTGAGTAGTTCAGGGTTCCATCTCTGCCCCAGTGGTCTCCACCTGAATCCAGCTCAACACTTGGGAGACTGTGAGTAGAGTACCAATGGAGTTCCAAACTCGATGCCTTGCTCCCAACAAACAATGGCCTCTCCCCAGTGACTCGCTTCCCTCAATCCCACTTGTAAATAAACTTCAGTATATATACCCCAAGAATTTCTCCAAGTAGTCTAAAGGTCAGGAGCCCAGGTATTTACCTGTCTCTGTGAAGTTGCTAAAAGTAAAAAGCCTAAAATGAAAGCCCTCCATCTCTGCAAATGCTAGGGCAGCCTTCTGCCCACACAGCCCCAAACAGGTAGAGCTGGCCAGACTCCCATCGACCGCCCATCTAGCTCCCCTGGCGGGTGGCGACAGTGGGAGTGTCTCCCTTTGCCAGCTGGTCTAACTCCTGAACGTAATGAAAATACTGATGGGCCCCTGTCCCCCACCCACAACATGAATTCTCAGAGCAATCACAGTAGCAAGTACATTTATTATAAAAATAGATGAATATAAAATAAGTGTGTTTTAACTTCTGGATACATGATAAATGCTATTGCAATGAACAGTCTTTCAATTTCAGTTTCAATGCAGACGTGGCTGCCATGGCTGGGGATGGGCCCCCTAGTGGGATGTGCAGCTACAGTATTCTGTTCTGCAAACCTCCCGATACAAGGCAGGGGTGGGGGACAACAAGAGAAGGAAATTCTACCCTGGGGACTGCACATGTGGCTCCCACAGGCAGCCACCCCTTTCTGGCAAGCTGTGGCATCTCCAAGTGCAGGCTGAGGTGGGGCTGGCAGGATGCACACTAGCAGCAGACTGCTCTGGTTTCAGCATGACAGAGAGATGAGACTGGGCTTCCCTTGCCTGATGCTCCTGACCCCGTCGTCTCTGCCTCCACCCCCAGCCCTGCTGGCAGCTTCCTCTGACCCAGCCTGTTCCACAGCCAAAGGGGGACCAAGGTGAACAACCAGAGTGCCCATTCTAGGGGCCTTGATCTCAGCAGAGCTCAACCCATCGTGTCTGAGAGCAAGCACCCACCCTGTCCCCGAGGGAGGCTGCATTAGGCAGAGGCCCACAAGGGCACAGGGAAGTCCTGGCTCACTGGCAGCACTCGGCCACATGCCTGAGGAGCTCTTCGCCTTGCTCATCACTGAAGCACCGCAGGCAGTGAGGGCACTGAAGGTCTCCCTGGCCTCTCTGGGCTGTGCTGGGGTGTCCGCCTTCTGCAGGGGGTTCCAGTTCCAGCTGCTGGGACCCAGGCCCTGGCCTGCAGCCGCCAGGCACCACAAGCTCCAATGCATCAGTTTCCAAGTACTTGGCAGTTTTGCTTCCAGTTTGAATCCAGCAGGGGTCTGGCTCTCGGACGTCCTGGAGAAAAGGCAAAGGTCTGTTTACACGGGCTGTGCTGAAGGCCACAAAGCCAGGTCTCGGGTTCCAGCAACAAGTGCAACTTAAATCCCTCGCCTTGTGGAATTCCTGTTCCCCAGAGACCAGACAAGGAGGCGCTCAGCGAACAACTGAAGAGATCACACACACGTCATGCACACATGAAGGAGCAGGCCTGAGTGGGGTCCACTCCTCAGCCCCTCCGCACAAGGCCTGAGTGGACCTATCGGCTCTAGGAGACCTGACCAAGAAGGTGCCTCTGAAGACACGCTTCTCCACCACCACGAGGTGGGGAGCAAACTGAATCCCAATCCCACTCTGCACCTCCTCTGGGGCCTGGGGTGCTGAGCACTCTAAGCACTTAGGGGGCCTCCAGTATCAGCAGGGGAGTATCCCTGCCTCGGCCACACCAATCACGTGGCACAAACACCCATCCTCAAGCACTGCAGCCTGCAGGGCCTGTCATTACTTGTTTGGGACCATCATTCTAATAGGCCTTGGCACTTCTACTCTGCATCTAAATGTGGATTTTCCTCAGTGGACTGCAGTTCATCACCCATGCCTTCAGCACCACTGTCCCTGGGCGAGCCACTTAGGGACTGAGCAACAAGTGCTCCCAAGGCTCAAGGGGCCAGAGGCTACAGTTGAAAGGGATGTGGAGGCCACTTAGTACAAAGTCCCAGTTTCTACCAGGAATTTTGCCCTTGGTGCTAAGGGAGAATTCCTAGGAGAATCCAGGCCTATAGGTCTGGAACCAGTTTCTTTGGCCCAAAATCTTTGAAAGGCCACCTGAGACCATCCTCATGACTGTACCATTAGCAACCCTTCAATCCAAATCACATGCTTCCTCACATTCATGGAGGCCAGCAAACCCACAGGCAAAACCAAATCCCAGAAAAACCCACACATAGTCATGTTGGAAGATGCTCCCATTCCTACCCAAGGAACATGCTGGAAAATCCCCACTCTAGGTCTACCTGCAGTCCCAGGACCTTAGGAGAACCAGGAATTGGGGGATGGGGAGCCACCCACCCACTTGCCATCATGTGATGCCAAGAAGGCTATGGGGTCTGGGCAGGGGCTTGGGGCAGGTCCTGCTGTGGCTGTTGAAGCCATCAGAGCCTCCTTGTCAGCCTGTAGACTTGTGGTGAGGACAGAGGCCCCACCATGACCCCCTTCTTTGTCCATAAGTAGAAACAGTTGCCTGTGTCCAGGCTCCCTGCTGTGGACTTAGTTCAAGGGTGTGGAAGAAAAGGTGTTCACCATGACCCCCCTGTTCCCCTCCCGGAAGAGAGGAGAAGAGGCACGTGGGTGCCACAGGTCACACAGTGAGAAACTTCATCAGTTCTGATTCACACCGGGCCTCCTTCAAGGCACCCACCACGGTGGGAAGAGCACTGAGCCCAGGGAGTAGACTGCAGGGCCCGCTGGCCTGTGAGACCCAGCTGCATGTGAAAGGCTGAGCTGGGGGACGTTACTGGACACCTAGGGCTATCACATCTACATGACAGGGTAACCAGGGTTCCCGCTCAGTGCAGGAGAATGTATGGGGCACCCAATAGGGAGACTAAGGCCCAGGACACATTCTCTGGTTGCATGACAGTGGCAAACAGGGAGGCAGAACAGGCCCTGAGGATGGCCACCTCTGCTACCATAGGTTGCCATGCCAACCCCCTCTATTGCTAAAACAGTACCACAGTGAGGGTTTCCACAACCACGCCCTAGGTGCTAGGCAAGGCAGCTCTGCCCAGAGCTGGGAAGGGCCCAGCACAACCCTTCCCACCAGCAAACAGGGTCTTAGCAGACACGAAGGGCTCAAGATGCATGAAGAGAAAAACAGAAACACTAAACCTAAGCAAGAAGAGAAATGCCCTCATACTCTACCTGTCTCCGGGACACCTGGTGCAGCAAAGAGGTGACCTTCTCCTCTAGCTCTTGAATCCTACTTTGAGCCCGTTCCCGATCTGCCCTCTCTGACATGAAGTCATCCTTGTAAGCAAGAATCTAAGAAGAGACAAGACACGCTTCTGCTCAAAGAAAGAGAACGTCCCCACTGGGCTTCTCCCATCTGCCCCATGACCACTGCCCACCCTGAGCCCTTGTCCCAGCCTGTCCTGAGACCACAGCCACCGCCTGCAGGCAGACCTTTGGTCAGCGCTGCCCAGACCCCCAGGGTGGAGACCTGCTGTTCCAGCAAATGCGCCCGCTCCAGGGCAGCGTCCCGGGCCGTCCTCACGGCTGCCAGCTCCCGCTTGACTTCTGCACAGTCGTTTATTTTCTCCTCCAACTGTCTGTTAAGCCGGGAGATCTCCTTCCTCATCAGCTCAGGCTCGTGGGGGGCCTGCAGTTCCCTCAGCTGCGCATGGATCCCCCTCACGTACTCGTCCCTGCTGGCATCGTAGCGCTGCCACTTGGCATTGAGGTCTTCCACCTGAGGATGCGGAGCCGGAAAGCTCCCGGCGAAGGCAGCTGAGAAGCTGCTCCAGCCAGCACCCAACTGTGAAGCTGTTACCAGCAATAATTCACGAGCGAGGTTTTCCTCTTCAACGCAAGCCGCCTCCCTGTGTTCTGTGCAGAGGGGACACTAAGCCCACCAGAGGGTCCTGGGACACTGTGATAATGCCCATAGCAACGATCTTAGACAGAGTGGACTTAGTACAATTTTCCTGCCTTAAAAACTGTACTTCCCGATAGTAATTCTTGTACTTCCTTTAATTGACTTATGAATCAACTTTGAGGGGATGGAGGAAAGACAAGACATGTCCTGTACAGGCCTTAGCCTAAAAGGTAAGGTCTCTGGGGACTGTGTGTATCAAGCCAAAGTGGCCAGAGGGTGGGAGCAACCTCTGGGCATCAGCCAAGGAAAGAATCCTCACATACAGTTAGTAAGAGTGAATGTTCTTCTCAAATAAAAAGTTAAAGACACTCACGTGAGTCACCTTCTGTTTTAACAGTCGATTTTCTTCCTGTAACTCCTCAATAATATTCTGGACAGAGGCGTCCCTGCCTGTATGCTCTGGCTGCATGAGGAACGAGCAGAAAGGAGACACCGTGTCACCACATGTGAGAGCCGATGAGAAAGCTGGACCTGCAGGCTGAGGCCACAGGTCATCACTGCAGCCCATCACTGCAGCAGGCAGTGACCGTTCATTTGACAGAGAAGCAAAGCAAAGACAAGGACTAGCCGACTCCAGCCGTGGGGGAACAAGGAACCACCCTCTCCCTGCCAGGCTCCCCACTGGGGCCAGGCCACAGCCTGAGCTGAAGGTCTCCAGGTCACATCATCCTTGACGCTATTCTTATTCCAACCTACCTGCCAGTTTGAGCTGTTTCTTTTAAATATTCGGGATTTAAACATTCTAAAGTCTAGAACATTTACATATACCGGATGCAGTAAAATCTCATTGCTTGAGCCCTGCCATTGTCACAGGGAGTAAGGAGGGCAGGAAGCTCAATCCTGTTGTACACCAGAGAACCCCCAGCTGCTGGGGTGGGCCTGGCTGTGTGACCAGCTTACCTCCTTCAGAGCCCGTGACACTGTCCTATCTGCAGACAGCCAAGTTCAATGTGGTGCTTCTGGACGTGGCAATCTAACCTGCGTCTCATGCAGGGTTGGGAGATTCGGTCATGGGAGCCACATCTCAAACAAAACCCTGACAGTTGGCAGACCTAACTGGAAAGTCTCGTGAAACACCCTTTTGTACCCTAGAAATTCTGCACATTGAACAGTGCTGGGGATGTGTATCAATGACATCATTTTTGAGAATTCCCCTCAAATGACAAAGGAAGTGCATGCCCTAATCCAGCCTGCACTGGGAAGCCCCGGGTGACTCAGCTGAGTCCAGGGCTGAGAAGTGACACTTATTTAGAGACTGTGATGAGATGCCTGTCCTACCCTCCCATCCCCCTACCACTGGCCCCACACCCATCTCATGCTGACCACTGTATGTGGCTCTTTTCAAACCACCAGAGGGAAATGACTCAAAATTGGACAAGAACCCCCCACCTCCTCCCAGTCAGCGAATTTTCTTTTGGTTTCTGAAATATAGTTGTGTTGTTCTCAGGTTCCCTTTTTGTGGAATCCACCCAACTGAGATGGGTGGTTCTCAGATCAAATTTCTCCGCAACGGGTACTTTGGTGAAGCTGCTAATAGGAACTGGATGTCCCAACTGTCCCAGAACATCTCAGAGCACGTGTTTCTGCATGAATCCTGTTGCTGCCTCAGAGAACTACCTAGAGGGACCCAAGTAAGAGGCCCTGTGCCAGGCAGTGCAGGCAAGATGCAGCCTCAGCCTGGCTCACCACAGGACCGGGGTAAGGTGTGTCCCACGTGCTTCCGTTTCCCTGTCTGTCCCACACAGATCACAGCCCCCCAGCGGGAAGCACAGTGACCAGCACCTGGTTCCCAGTAGTCTCGGCCCCACTGCTCCCTGCTCTTCCTGCCTAGGAGCCCCCTGGTTTCCTGGGTGTGCCCCCAACCTCCATGATGGCCTTATGTGATTCCTGATGCTAAAATCCTCACAGTCCGTCACCTCCACCAGACCCTATACATAGCCACAGCCCAGATCCAGCCTGTCCTGGAGGCCCAGTCTTAGGCCCCCAATGTCACCTGGTCCTTGCTTTGATGACAATGAGGCTGCAGCTCTGAGGACATCCAGGTCCTTTGGATTGTGGCAGGCCATGCTGCTGTCAAGGACATGCCCAAAAGCCAGCTTCGACTCTTCATGAGGCCCACAGCTGTGCCAGCCCTGATCTACTTAGATATACGGAGCCTGCAGACGGCCAGCACTCATGTTCCTCCTGGCAATTTGGGCCTAGCCCCTGCACATGTGCCATTTGGAGGCACTGCCCTTCTCCAGCAGTATTGCCTCGCTCTGCCTCAGTTTCCTCATCTACCCAACACACATGTGACAGCACTTCCTCAGGGCAACCCCTCCATCCCCCACTCTTCCTTCTCATCCTCAGCTGAGGCAGATGACACCAGAGTACCATCTCCGCAGATGAGTGCACGGTCAGCTACAGGCCCAGTGTGGGGCTGGTGAGGCAAGCTACCCTGCGTTCCTATTGCATTTTGCATGTTCCATCATTGTAAATGAAGCTTTGACCCATCAGCTGACTCTCATTACTGAGAACAAAAGTGGGCTCTGGGGTACCCCCTGACCTCTGAGATTGCTAAGGGATCCGGGGGGTCTGTAGGCAATGCCTCCTGCCACACAGGGTCTTCATCACGATTTGGTTACACTGTGGCCTACCTTGTCGGGACTCTTCTCCTCTACATCCCCTTGTGCATGCTGTCGTTCACCTAGACACTTGGCTAGATGCTGGCACATGTGGGCAGTGGCAGCCAGTGTCCTCCGCAGCTGGTGGGTCTCCTTGGCCAAGGAGTGGCACAGAACGTCACTGGCAGCCCGGGCCCGTTCCTCCTCTGCCACGCTCCTCCGCAGCAGGATGACTTCCTTCTCTCGCTCATGCTGTGGCTGGCTCAACAGCTGCTGCATCTCCCTCTCTTTTTCTTCTAGTCGCTCAGTAAGTCTCTCAATTTCCTAAGTGGAAGATTTAAAAATACAGTTTATGTGATTAAAAGATGCAATGCCAAAAGCAAACGTTCATAAAGCAACAGAAAATCTGGCATGGAGACTGTTAACTGGCATGTTATCACTAGATAACAAATGTACTCACTCGGAAGGCAGGCCTTTGAACTAATCATTGTCTTTGGAGTTTTTCAGCCTACAATGTTCTGTTCTGAAACATCATTTAAAATTCTATTTTCACAAGCAAGTTTATAATTTAAGATTTTACATCATGAAATCATTAAAAATTCCAAACACTTTTTTGCCAGGAATGATGGAAACTCCACTACAGAGGGTAGCCCCCCCAAACATATGTCCACATCCTAACCCCTAGTACCTGGGGATGAGAACTTACTTTGCCATAGGGTATTTGCAGATGGAATTAAGATAAGGTCATCCTGGATTAGGATGGAACCGGTGTCCTTATAAGAGGGACAGACAGAAGAAGGCCACACGAAGACAGAGATCGCAGTGATGTACCTACGAGCTAAGGCCCCAAGGACTGCCGGCCATCACCAGAAGCTGGGAGAGGCTGGGAAGGATCCTCCCCTCGAGCCTTCAGAGACAGCCAACACCTTGATCTCTGGCTCCTGGCCTCTAGAACTGTGAAAGATTAAATTTCTGTTGTTTGAAGTCTCCAGTTTGTGGTACTTTGTTACAGCAGCTGTAGGAAACTAATACACTCAACCCAAATTACTTCTTTTTCTTATTATTATTTTTTATTTTTATTTTGGGGGGTCTTCCAGTGAGGAACAGAAAACCTGCTAGACAAATTCTAAAAAAGCTATAACACTCCCAATTACTTCTTTAGGGGAAAAAAGTCCTTAAAATGACAACTTTTTAATATCTGACCTTAAATTCATGCTTTTCCATTTTCAAAGACCCTTCCAACAGTACATGAGGGAGGTTCAGCAGGCTCAACTAGTCCCATCCTGCAAATGAAGAAACAGTTCCAGAAGAAACAGTTCCAGAAGAAACAGTTTCAGAAGAAACAGGGACGAGCCCAAGCGTCCCCAGGAGGAAATGGCAGGAGAAGGACCCAGCTTCTGCCTCAGGTAATCACTTGCCTCCTACACAACATGAGGGACAGACACCAAGAACCCAGAACCTTCTCACCACAATGGAACAAATACCAGGCCATATTACTAAGGGAACCCTGAATTAGTATTCTCTTAACTAGCTTTTTTAAAATCACGAAAACAGTATGTGCACTGTTAAAAAAAAGTTCAAACATACAGAAGTAAATAAATGTGTAAATTTCTTTCCTCTCCCCCACACCCTTCCCCATCTTTCACTCTCCAGAGACCATCACTGTTTATTATTTGGGCACATATCTTTCCAGAACATTTATAAGCATCTATAACATGTGCATATTTTTACACAGAGGGATCACACAGCAACACTGCTCTTCCCCTCATCAATTATCTACCTTCTTCCACGCAGCATAGAGAAACCCGCCTCATTCTTATCTATGGCCTGGAACACCATGATGGATTCCAGATTTATTGAACACGACTTCAACTGATGAATTCCTTATACTCTTGCACAAATATATCAATGGGAAAAATGCCCAGAAGTTGCATGGCTAGTATTGTTTGAAGAGTAAAGAAATAATTGGTGGCATTCAGGAACACAGCCACTGGGCCCAGCCCTGTCTCCTGACACTCCTCCACCCAAACTCTGTGGTATCCATGATAACCTATTCTGTAGGATAATAAGCCTAGCATGACTGCATCACTGTAACCAAGTGACTCAGAGAACATTCTGAAATTCTCACTCAGGGCTTTTCTTCTTTCTTTTTTTAAGAGATGAAGTCTCACTTTGTGGCCCAGGCTGGAGTGCACTGGCCCAATCACAGCTCACTGCAGCCTCAAACTCCTGGACTTAAGCAATTCTCCCACTTCAGCCTCCCAAGTAGCTGGGACTATAGGCCCGTGCCACCATGCCCAGTTAATTATTAAAAATTTTTTGTAGAGATGAGGTCTCACTACGTTGCCCAGGCTGGTCTTGAACTCCTGGCCTCAAGCGATCGTCCTACCTCGGCTTCCCAAAGTACAGGGATTACAGGTATGAGCCACTGCACCTGGCCAACTCAGCATTTGTAAGGGTCCTTTCCTTCCCACCTCCTTGGACCTCACTCTAGAGGCAAACAGAAAGAGAGGAAAGAAGAAAAACCTGTTATGATGATCCGATGTAGAAAAATTAGCAAGACTGGCAACAATAGGTGCACAAATGAAAAACAGAACACCTCACGGGGACAAGTCTGCAAACTGGATTTTTGCCCAAAGGCATCCAGCACCTGCATTCCATCGTCCCATCACCGCACTACCTTCTGACATTGCAGCTCTTGGAAATCTCAGGGGTGCCTCCGTTTCCTGGCCAGGCAAGATCTGTTCTCATGAGGCCATTACTTTCACCTGTCTGCTTTATGACTCTCATGACCCTACCCTTGAGTACAGACCAGGCCTTTCTGTGCTGAAGGAGGAAAAGAGACATCTCTCTAAAAGCCAGCCAGTTGGCATCAGCACCTGCTCCTGGCAGGCGGCCCTGCAGCCCCAGGCTGAACCTCCAGGACTGGGAGACGGAAGGGGCCTGAGGACCTGGTTCTTTCCAAGAGCAGAGGGGGCTCTAGACTCTAGGACAAGCACTGTTCACTCACTTGGGGCCACCACCCACGAACACCTGAGCCCCTCTACATGGCTGCAGGAGGCCAGCTGATGCCAAATCACTTTGCCTGGATGCTGCCACACAAGAGGGCATGCATAGTGCAGCAGGGCATATTTAACCAACTGCACCTCCTTAACATAAAATACAGCAAACAAGAGAAAGAATGCCAAATCCCAATGTCAGCTCCAGTTCTCACTGCTGACTGTTTCCAAGGTATTGAGCCTAAACTATAAACACAGGTCTGTTTCTTGGCTTAGAATTTGTTTTTCTTTTAAAATTGACCATTTTTGAAGGCCATTTTGAAGCATCCAGGCCAAGTGATTTGGGGCTTTGTCTCATGTTCCTACTCTGAAGATAGTGCAGTAGGAGCCTCCCGATTGCTCCTTGGAAATGTCATAGACCCCTGGCCAGGCATGGCCAGCCACCCCTCATCTGGCTTTGTTTCTCCTCAGCCAACACCACAGCTTTGTCACTGGTGGCAGAATGAAAGTGCCCCAGAACAGTGACCTTTTTTGCCATACTCACCTGAACTAGATCTAATTACTCTCAACAGTGGCTCAAAAATGTGCATGGAGGCCAGACACGGTGGCTCATGCCTGTAATCCTAGCGCTTTGGGAGGCCAAGGTGGGAAGACTGCTTGATGCCAGGAGTTTGAGACCAGCCTGAGCAAGAGTGAAATCCCATCTCTACAAAAAATAGAAATATTAGCCAGGCATGGTGGCACACACCTGTAGTTCCAGCTACTCAGGAAGCTGGAGCACAGGAGTTTGAGGCTGCAGAGAGCCTCTGTACTCTGGCCTAGGCCCGGGGGTTGGGGACCACAGCTATAAACAATACCAATGAAGGCCAGTCTCCCATGGAATCATAAATTCAATAAACTTCTAAGTCCCTACAATAGAAACAGTGGCTGTGGCAGGAGCAGCCAATGCTTTCTAAGCCCCCACCCTACACCAACCACAAGATAGTGACTATCATTCCCATTCTACAGACCAAGGTAAACTGAGGCTCACAGGGTCAAGACAGCAGATGGAACAAATGGGTGAGAGGCAGCAGCACCAGTCACCCTGGCCCCAGTACCTCCATCTACTGCAGCTCCCTCATGCTCTACTCAGGGATAGAGAACTTTGGGTAAAACCTGATTTCTAAGCCTCTTTCTTGTGCTGGTCAAATGGAGACAGTAAGAGAAGCAAATGTCTCTACAGATGGGGGGTAGCACGCCCACAGGCTCCTGAGGCTTTCCAAGAGCATGGCTCTCTCTTGCCTCCACACTCTAGCCCTCGGCACTGGGCCCAGGCCCACATGGATGCCCAGTAAACATCTGGGAATAAAACAGGGCCATACAAAGGCAATTCAGGACCCAGGCCCTGTTCTCAATCAGTTCACAGCACAGGTACAGAAAAAACATGGACATATGGCTGCAAGTAGGGGGTGGGTAATTCTGATAGACTTCCCAGTCTTTATTTTTGGTCTTAAAAATCAGCTTTCAGCCGGGCATGGGAGCATGAGCCTGTAGTCCCACCTGAGATGGGAGGATCTCTTGAACCTAGAAGTTCCAGACCAGCCTGGACAACATAGTGAGACCCTGTCTCCTTTCAAAAAAAACTCAGCTTTCGAACATCAGTTTATAAATAATCTGGCTCACATGGAAACTTGCTAGATGACAAGATATACCCTGCTCAAGGCTGGCTTCTTCCCTCATCACTAGGGCCCTGCCACAGCCACTGAAAGGGAGGCTGAACCACTGGGAGGCAGCACACTGCACATCAGGCTACTGCTCATGGCAGTATGGCGGCCCTAGAAAGGGCTGCCTGGCTCACCCAGCGCCCAGCAGTGTTAGGGCCCCAAGACCCCTCAAGCCCTTGGGCTCCTAGAACTTGTTGCTGGCTCTGCAGTTGGAGAGATTGTGCTGACTCCTCTGACTGCCTTTTCCAGCTAGTGACAGTTCTTAGAACACAGCAGCACCCTGACCACTCTGGTCAGAAAGTGAGGTCTAGGCAAGACTTTCAGCTTTTTTTTTTTTTTTAAATTTTTTTTTGAGACAGAATCTTGCTCTGTTACCTTGGCTCAAGTGCCGTGGTGTCAGCCTAGCTCACGGCAACCTCAAACTCCTGGGCTCAAGTGATCCTCCTGCCTTGGCCTCCCAAGTAGCTGTGACTACAGGTACATGCCACCATTTTTGGTAGAGATGGGGTCTTGCTCTTGCTCAGGCCAATCTCGAACTCCTGATCTCAAGCAATCTGCCTCGGCCTCCCAGAGTGCTAGAATTACAGGCGAGAGCCACCTCACCCATCCAGAGTTTCAGCTTTATAAACACAGGCATGACACACAGCCCATCTCTCAGGAAAGCCTGTTGCTGAGACCCACACACACAAGTGTTAAGAATTCTATTAAGAGTTTTGTGGATCAACTTTAAAAATAAGAGGTATAGCCTCTTGGCTTTCATCTCTTTGTTAGTTAGCTGCTGTAACAAAGTACCACAAACCAGGAGTCTTAAACAACAGAAATCTATTCTCTCACAGTTCTGGAAGCCAAGTGTCAGCAGGGCCATGCTCCCTCCAGGGGCTCTGGGGAAGACTCCTCCCTTGTTTCTTCCAGCTTCTGGTGGTTGCCAGCATTCCTTGGCTTATAGACACATGACTCCAATTTCTGCCCGTCTTCACATGACCTTCTTCTCCCTGTGTCTTCACATGGCCATTTTATACACCAGTCATTGGATTAAGATACACTCTGATTCAGTATGACTTCATTTTAATTTACTACATCCGCAAAGACCCTAAATCCAAATAAGGTCAGTTTCCAGGTGGACATGAATTCCAGGAAACCCAGTATAGTACCCTTTCTCTCTCCTTCCCAGGCAGACCTTATAGGGTGCCTAGGTGGAGGGTGCAGCTCGGCTCAGGGCTGTTCCCATATCAGGAGCTGATGAAACTGTGAAAGAACAGGAACAAACAGGAATTATAAGAAAGGCCAGTGCTCTGAGCCCTGACTGCATATGTCAAGCCATCAAGATGTGCCCTGGGGAAGCAGCGAGACAGCAAGACCCTTCCTCACTCTGGAAGAGCTTGAGCTTGGTGGAGGAGCAAGGCAAAAAGTAAGGACAAAAACTACCACAGCCTATTGTTTTGTTTTATTTTTTTTTTTTGAGACAGAGTCTCACTTTGTTGCCTAGGCTAGAGTGAGTGCCGTGGCGTCAGCCTAGCTCACAGCAACCTCAGACTCCTGGGCTCAAGCAATCCTTCTGCCTCAGCCTCCTGAGTAGCTGGGACTACAGGCATGTGCCACCATGCCCGGCTAATTTTTTTCTATATATATTAGTTGGCCAATTAATTTCTTTTTATTTTATAGGAGAGATGGGGTCTCACTCTTGCTCAGGCTGGTTTCGAACTCCTGAGCTCAAACAATCTGCCTGCCTCAGCCTCCCAGAGAGCTAGGATTACAGGCGTGAGCCACTGTGCCCGGCCTACCACAGCCTATTGTAAAGGGTATACCCTACCCTATTGCCCTCCATAAAGAGTATGTCAGAACAGGGAAAGAAAAGCTGGAAGGGAAAGAGGGCTGATATGCCAGGACCAGGCTAGGCCTGTGAGGCCAGTCCCTGGAGTAGAGACAGGATGGGGTTAAGCAGTAATGATATTCCAGAAAGTCTTAACTGAAGGAGGTTTGCACAGTTATCCAACCAGTCCTTGTGTTACAGATGAGGTGAGGTCTTGAGTTCCACTATGGCCACAGTGAGGGCCGCAATTCACTGGCCTGATCTGGCTCCATCACATGGTGGCCACAGCTTGGCCACAGATGCGGTGGCTACTTCTTCATACCTCTGAGCCTCAACATCCTCTCTGGGAGCTCTCAGTCCCTACTGGTCCAGGGTCCCTGTTCCTAATGGGCTGGCTGACATGGCCATAGAAGAGAGCAACCTACCAACAGCTTGCTTCCTCCAATGACTTTAACTCTGCACTGCTACCCACATCCTCTAGGACACAATAAACCTCTCCATTCTTCCACAGGTTCTGTGATTGACCTCAGATTGAATGTTGGGATGAATAATAAAAACATAATTGCATATGATACCAGATCATTAAAATGCTCCCTAATTAAAGATCCCAAAAAAACCCTACATGTCAGAAGTGGGAGGACCAGTAATGCTGGGACCATGAACTTGGTTCTATCTGGAGCCATAAGGGACCTGTTGCGATGAGTTCCCAGTTAGTGGCCATTGATACAGAGGACACTGGGGACACACGTGAGCTGAACAGCAATGGCCATCAGACTGCAAGTATAATCCTGCTCTGGTTGTTAGGTGTCCACAACCCCTAACTCACGCATCAACATTCTGGCGATGAATTCTAGATGGTCTGTTTGGGTCCTGCTCTGTACTCATCTGGGGCTCTCGGTGTCCACAACACTAAAATCTGCTGGCACAGACAAGATGACCTCCAAATTTCCCTTCTGCTCTGATGAGTCATGATCCACCTTCCAGAAAGAGGGAGAGAGCAGGAATGGGGAAGACATTGGCTGCTGAAGGTATTATAAATAATGCAGATATTTTGACAACATAATATTAAGTAAAACCACATAGATACCATGAATTCAACCATGCCAAGTGTATGTATACTATATGCACAGAGGAAAATCAGGAAGGAAGCATGCCAAGAGATTAACACTAGTTATTCCTGCATTGTGAGACTAAGGTAACTATTTTATTCTTTATTTTTATTTTTTGGATATTCAAAATTACTCTTACAATCAGAAAAGGAGGTATATTTCTTTTTCTGTCTAAAGTCAGGCGGTGGGGCCAATCCTGGAAACAAAATCTATCTTTCACAGGCTGCTCCTTTTGCAGGCTTAGTTTCTTTCCTGAGAAAACTGGGATAATAGTCATGGACCAAATGGAACACTAAATGCCTGAGTTCTCCCAACTGTTTGGGGCGCTCACAAATAACTGTTACACAAAAGTACTGTTACTCTTACTTCTCTTGCGCGTAGGCCTTTCATAAAAAATAGACGTAACATCAATGACGAGGATGAGAAGGAAAAACGATTTGTCTGTTATCAGACACGGCTGTGCCTGCCAGGCACAGAGCCGAAGTGCTACCAGCGAAAGACGCGCTCACAGGTGAGGACTGGAAGGGACCGAGCACACAGCATCCCGGAACCAAGGCCCCTCACAGGCAAGCCCACCGCCCCGCGGCCCGCCAGCCCCCGCACCTGGCGCAACTGGGCCTCCGCTGCGCCGCTCTCCTGCCGCCGCAGCTGCTCCCGCAAGCGCGCCACCTGCTCCAGCAGCGCGTCCACGAGCGACGGCGCAGCGTCCCCCTCGAGCGCCGCCAGGCGGGCGCGGAGGCGCGCGATGAGGGCGTCCCGAGCTGCCAGCTGGTCCTGCAGGCGCCGCAGCCGCTGCTCGGCCTCGTGGTACAGGCTGCAGAGCGCGGCGGCTACGCGCGGGGTCCCCTCCCGCCCGCCGGACCCCGCGCCCCAGGACGACATGGCCGCGGCCTGCCTGGGAAGGCGCGCCGCCGCGCAACCTCCGCGCAACTTCCGCGACCGGCCGGGCTGCGGCCTTCCCGGAACCTTCCCCGGCGCGCCCCGCCCCCCGCGAGAGCCCAGCCCCGCCCCCCGCGAGAGCCCGAGCCCGGCCCCGCCCCCCGCGAGA